TTTGTGTAGTCAATAAAACACAGGTAAACATCTTCCTGGTATTCCCTGATTTCAGCCAAGATCCATCTGACATCAGCAATGATTTCCCTTGTTCCACGTCCTCTTCTGAATCCGGCTTGAACCTTTAGAAGTTCTCTGTCAATGTATGGTTGCAGCCATTTTCTGTATTTTCTTTAGTAAAACTTTACTCGCATGGCATATCAAAGATATTGTCCAATGATTCTGCATTCTGTTGGGTCACCTCTTTTTGGAATGGGCACAAATAATGCCCTAATTAAGTATGGAGAAACACAAAATTGGATTGGAACAGCAGACAGAGAACTGATTCAAACATCAGCCTTAAATTTTCTGACTCCTTTAAGAAACTTTTTAGAAGGAGATTACCAAACAATTGCTAAAGAAAGAAAACTATTACAAAATAAGAGACTAGATTTGAATGCTGCAAAAACCAGACTGAAAAAGGCAAAAACTGCAGACACTAGAGCTTCATCTGAACAGGAATTAGGAATAACTCAAAGTGAATTTGATCGCCAAGCAAAGATTACCAGACTTCTGCTAGAGGGAATCAGCAGTACAAATGCCCATCACCTCTGCTGTCTGAATGACTTTGTAGAAGCCCAGATGACTTACTATACACAATGTTACCAGTACATGATAGACCTCCAAAAACAACTGGGAAGTTTTCCATCTAATTATCTTTGTAATAACAATCAATCATCAATACCACCTTTACCACCCACTTCATCAAATGTGATTGTACCTTCTGTGATGGCTTCAACAATTGGTTTAGTAATCACCTCTCCCTCCAACCTCAGTGACCTTAAAGAGTGTACTGGCAACAGGAAGGTGAGGGTTCTCTATGATTATGATGCTGCAAACAGTAGTGAATTATCACTTCTAGCAGCTGAGGTGATCATTGTGTTCAGTGTCATTGGAATGGATTCAGACTGGCACCTGACCCAAGCCATGATACTTTCAATAACCTCATCAGCATGTGAAAGCTGGACAGTGAATAAGGAAGACTGTAGAAGAACTGATGCTTTTGAGTTATGGTATTGGAGGAGAATATTGAAAGTGCCATGGGCTGCCAAAAGAATGAATAGAGAGTGCTATTTGGAGGCCCAGATGGCCAAACTTCATCTCTCATACTTCAGACATATTGTCAGGAAGGAGCAGTCACTGGAGAAGGATATCATGTTTGGCAAGGTGGAGGGGTCAGAGAAGAAGAGGAATACCCCCAATGAGATGGATTGCCCAAGTGGCAGCATCGATGGACTCAAGTGTGGCAACAGTAGTGAGTTTGGCCCAGGATTGGGCAGTGTTTCTTTCCGTTGTGCATAAGATCGCTATGGGTTGGTACCAACTCGATGGCACCTAACAACAACAACAATGGGAGAAAGGGGGAATCAGAAAGGCAGGGTGACAATTACATACTTAAGAGCTTCTCAATGAAATAGGTGGACTTTGGAAAGGGTATGCATTAGGACACGATGTTTATATACAATTAACTCTAAAAAATCAGGTTTATGGATCTTCCATGTTAATGCCTAAAAAGGAGACTAAGAATAAAATACCAGCCTCAGAAGCCAGCCTTTCTGCCATTAAAGTTGCATAGTAATTTTCATTACAAAATTTATGTTAGAGCTTCACGACAAGAATGTTTTCTTACAAAATTCTTTCTACTGAGGTCTTACCAACAAACAACTTTTACTTTTGAGTCCCTACTTAATGCAGAAGAAC